TCCGGGGGAGCCGCGGGAGGCCGAGCGGCCCTCTGGGCCCTGGAACGGTGTCCGGTTCTCGGCCTCCTTCACGACCCTCTCCCCCCCCCCCGCTAGGTCGGAAAAGGCGAAATGAGGAAGGTTCCCGTGCCGGCCAACAGGTACACTCCGCTGAAAGAGAACTGGATGAAAATATTCACGCCGATCGTGGAGCACTTGCAACTTCAAATCAGGTTTAATTTGAAAACGAGAAACGTGGAGATCAAGGTAAAGAGAGCTCCTTCGCCTCCTTTCCCAGCTAATAGCCGAAATGCAGCGCCTCTCCTCGTAGGTGGCGGCGTTGCGCGGCCTATCGAGGACTAGGGAGGCGTTCTACATCCCCCATAATGCTGGGAAAAATGGGAACGGCGTGGTTTTACCTAACCAGAAAAGCCTCGATCTGTCCGTTATTGCTTAGAAACAAGTAGTTAATGTAAGCGAAGTTCAGAAGTGTTAATCTCTTCCAGAGGGGGCCAGCATGAGCTGGGGCGGGGGGAGGGAGGTTCGATTTATACAGGAGAAAACTCTGTACTCGAGAATTAAGGAAGAGTCTTAGTCTATGTGTTGGATGTGCGTTTGGAATGCAATGTTTTGCAGATATTTAAGGCTACTAAATACTTACGTGACAATTTTGAGTTAGCAGTGCCTTTTGAGGGGGCCACCGAATCTTCCAATGTCTTTTGTTTGTGGCAGAAGATAAGGGCCTGTAGTTTAATAGCTTGTGATTTTTCTTTAATGGATTGCACTGAAATAGCTTAGGGTACAGATACCGATACATAATTGTAAATCCCACAGATGCTCATTCTTCGTTCTTACTCCCTCTCGGAAATATTCAGCCTAGCTGTTTTTAATTGTATATCCAAAGCTCATGCTATCTATGCCTTTGACGTACATCAACGTTGCTAATACAGTAACTCAGTGTGCCATCTCTTCCGTAGTTATTGTTTCCCGCTTTTCTTTTCTTACAGCTTCAAAGGCTGCTCTTTTCGCAGTTGTCCCTGTTAGCATCTGTAAACGCAGATGTGCACAAACGTTTCCGCTGGTCGCAGAGGAATGCTTTGGCCCAGTTTTAGAACACGAGCTGAAAAAATGCCCCCTGGCAGCAAATCCTGTGGCCTCTGCTGGGGGCAGGGGGGGAAGTATAAAACTTAAACGCTCCAATGCTTGCTGATGTGTCAGGTCGATTTGTTCCTGTTCCAAATATCTTGTTTCTCTTGTCTCGTATGTTTTATTGAACCTGTCCCTGTTTATAATCACCTGCTGAAACATCTTTAGCGTGTTGTCATTAGAATAACTTTCCTTCCCCGAGCTGTCTCCTGCCGCCCTTCTCTTTTATTCTGCTCTTCTGTGTTGCAGTTTAGTTTGGCGGTTTTTGTTTGGGGTTTTTTATTTCATGAAAAAGGTTCTCCTTGGTCACTGGTGGTGGGGATTTTCAGCAGTTTCTTTTTTCCCTCCCCTCCAAACGCAGGCTCTGGTAGTTGGCGCATTCTTGTGGCTGAGGGTCAACATTATAAGGAAGCACAAAAGTTACAACTTGGGTCTTTCAGTAAAACACCACATAGGAGCGTTACCTAAACGTGGCTTTTTAACGGTTAGCCTTCATCCCTTAGGTTTTTCAAGTCCTGATCCTATTTGCGTGGTCTTAATTTGCAAACGTAACTTCTTGTCTTGCAGACTTGTCAAGAGACAAAGGATCTCGGTGCTCTAACAAAGGCCGCTGATTTTGTGAAAGCGTTTATACTTGGGTTCCAAGTAGAGGTGAGTCTCCCAACAGCTCGATTGTGAGATTGCTTGAATTTGCTTGCATGAAGTCTTTGGCCTCTCCGCAAATTACGGTAAGAAAGAAAGAAAGAAAAATCTTTAGGTGGTTTTCTAGAAATAAATTTGATTGAAATTGTGACTGGAGTGGAAGTCTAGTTTCTTAGGCTAATGCAGAATGAAAAGGTAGTCTTCAAACAGCACATAATTAAAATTATGAAACGGAGGAAGTATTTAATGGTATGTGAGAGGCAAGCAGGAAATTCTATTCGGTCTGGCTCTGAGGTGCTCTGCATATGTAGAGACCGTTCGTTTTGCTTTAGTCCCAGTCAATAACCATCAGTCTGTTCAAAACTCAAAATTCACTTAGAGAAAACAAAACCACTTGTTGCAGTATCGTACAGGCTGCTCGTTGCCGCAGACTTGTACTGCCTTCACTAGTATAGGGGGGATCTGCAGTGAATGTGGGGGGTCTACGCATTTGTAGGGTTCTCTACACAGAAATAAATGCTTATATTGCTATTGAAAAAATACCTGATCTAACCTTGGCTGGCTGTTGTTTGATATGTGAAGGGGGGAAATACTACTGATGTCATCTGTTTATATGCGTAAAGAAAACGTATAAGCTTGCAACTCTGTTGCGGTACAGTAACACATGCTGATAACAAATCTCTTAATATTTTAGGATGCTCTTGCTCTCATCAGATTAGATGATCTTTTTCTAGAATCATTTGAAGTTACAGATGGTAAGTAGTTTCTGCTGCAGTATTCCAAGTAGTCGTGTGTACCGTCTGCAAATACATTTTTTGTTTTGTTCCCCCCACCCCCGCTCCACTCGTGTCACTTCTCCCCAGGGATCAGGAAGACCTTCATGCCAATGCATCGAAATAAAGGAAAGGGTTGTCAGTTTTGCAAGATGTTCCAACAACACCCCCCAAACCTTCATCCTTAAAAGCGTGTCACTTTGTCAGGTTGATTGGATTTTTCTTGTCACAGCGTAAATGTTGTTTTAAAGGTGACATGGAGTGTTTTGGGGAATACGTCCACTAGATTTTTAATCGGGAATGGGCTTTGTTCCTCCCACTATGGTGACAGCGAGGGGTGGGAAGCAGGCAGCAGAGACGTTTGTTATTTCATGTATTACTGGGACTCCTTGGAGCAGGCTCCAAGGAAGGCAGCATCTCAACCTGATCCGTTTCATTTCTACTGGTGTTAATTGCGTGCACTCTGGCTCTCTTTCTTTCCTCGATCTTTATTGCTCAGTAATGAAGAGAATGCTTTCCACTGCAGTTCTGTATGAGAATTTCTCCCTGATGCCTGTGGTCACGTACCACTGGATGTCATTTTTGCTTCCAGTTATATAGGTGAATATAGATACGTATCTATTTCACCTATAGTAAAGTTGCTTTTGTATTACTGAAAATGAGTTGTTCCCAGTTAGTTGAACAAGGGAAGCATTACAGAAATACACACCGCCGCTGTTTTACTGAGTGCATTGCTCTCGTTTTAGTCAAACCTTTGAAAGGAGATCATCTGTCAAGAGCAATAGGGAGAATAGCAGGGAAAGGCGGAAAAACAAAATTCACTATAGAAAACGTAACCAGGACACGGATAGTTCTTGCGGACGCGTAAGTACTGACTTCCTTCCTTCTAGGCAGAGCCCAGTCCCTAAATTAATCCATGTCCTCTTCCAGGAACAAAGCTAACTTGAATTTTTTGAAACTGTTGTGGAGCAGTAGTAAGACAAATGATTTAAGTGTTATTTTTAATGAACGCTCTTTTGAGTATGTATTTATTTGACCTTTGGAGAGCAATGACAATGTCAGCAGCACACCTAGAATTAAGTGATTCTACATAGCGTAAGAATTCCTTCTTGCGAATAATCAAAGTTGAACCCACCAACCCTACAACGTTTTCCTCCTAAAGCTGCTACACTGTTAAAATTTGCAAATTGTAAATTATTTGATGAAGGATTTAGAAGAGCACAGGTTCTATGCTGTAGGTTGTCTGACTTTGAGTGTTTGGGTTTTTTTTAATTACAACTGTAGAAAAGGAACTAGTACGCTCATCTGAAATCCATGTTCATCTCTCACCTCTGACTTAGATGCTTTATTAACTATGTTATCACAAGGGGGTGGGTATCCATTAGCTAATACTACTTTGACTGCTTTTTACAGGAAAATTCATATCCTGGGATCTTTTCAGAACATTAAAATGGCACGAACAGCAATTTGCAATCTAATTTTAGGTAAGTCCTGTTATCTAATCTTCTCCATTACATCTAAATAGATCGTGCCGTCTGAGAAGCTGCTTCCTGTGGGTCTCATCCCCTTCCCTTCCCTGGTGCGTCCACACCTGCATTTGGAGCAGGTGGCTTGTTGGGGAGTCATCTTGTTGCCCTTAAGAGAAGGGTTTGGGGAAGCAGTCCCCAAAACCCTCTCCATGGTGCAGAAGGAAGATTTTCTGCTTTTTGCTTTAGCTGCAGTACTCCCTGAGCGGCTATTGTGAAGGCGCTGTCTAGGAAGCCAAAGGGGGCAGCCGGGGCAACCCACACCAACAGCAGCAGCTTAACTCTGCGCTTGCTGTAATAGACAGGGTGGCTAACCTTGACCATCCTTCTCACCCATGGACTTATTTCTCCACTTATAACAGACGCGAGAGCAAAACATCCGTTTCTGTGACACACGTTATCTTGTTTGCCGACTGAATTTGTGCTTTCTTCTGCAGGAAGTCCTCCATCAAAAGTGTATGGCAATATTCGGGCAGTGGCCAGCAGAGCAGCTGAAAGATTCTGAGCTGCAGCATGGCTGTGCCACCAAGGACCGGGGCTGGGAGTCAGGGTTTCCGTATGCACGAGAGGCCTGGAGCTACAGAAGTACTCGGTCTTCCGCTTGATTTGGAAGCCCAGAAGAAAACCAGGACTGTTTGTGCAGTCTAATTTCATTCAGACACACTGTCTGATTTGAACACACTTAATATTTCTGTATAGTCATTAAAAGTTATTTTAAATTGGTTGTGTCTATATCAGAAGTATGAGTACCTGATTTTACTGAAGCTTGTCCTCAAACAAAAACATGCTTCTTTAATACTTTGATGTTCAGGAAGTCAGTAAAGAGACAGCTGTAAGGACTTCGGGAAAGCCTTTGAGTTTGAGCCTAAAGGAATCAGCCTAGTTAAGCATTCATAACCACACATCATGGATCGGTATTTTCCTGGAAAAAGGAAGTGTCAACTGGAATGCAAAGTTCAATGGCAGGCTGCCCGACGAGTCTCTGCTAGCGATGGGACAATGTATCACACAAAAATGGTAAGACGACAAAGCAGTAAATAGTGTATTTGGACTTTATCCTGGAATCTGCTCCTATATAGATTTTTTTTATTTTCTCACAAATGATCTGTAAGGGCAGCCTAGTGAATCCAAGAGCCTCCAGGTTAAGTACTTGCCAGCGTACCAGAGCACAACCAACCGTGAAGTGCTGTGACTCCTCCTTAAAATGCTACATGCATGCAACAGAGCAGGGGGAGCCCAGCCACAGTCCCACTTTGACTTAAACACGGGCCCTTTTGTCCTGACCTTGCCAGCCAAACTTGTTACCAAGTCTCTTGCAAAATAATTCAGTTTAGGTTTGTGAATGAAAAAAACTGAAGTGAGATTATCCAAAAACACTAGCAAATTGAGTAAGCATTTCTCTCAATGTGAGTTTCCAATGCAGCACTTTATAGCCAAATTCATTCAAGCCTTCAACTGCTAGGAGATTTAAGACTTGCCGAGTTGCCTAAATGTACAACTCTCACCACTGAGCTATACAGGGGAGAGTGTCCATTTTGAGCACCTCAAGGTAAAACAGTGCACCTACCCTGTTAGCACATTTTCTGTTCATTGGTTGCTTATGTCATTTACCTCGATTAGCTTGAAAGGTAAGGGGAGAGCGAGGCAAGGACACACAAAAGTAAATCTAGTCTTTATCCTGAAGCAGGTGCATACCGACACCGACCAAGAGCAGTAGGAAGGGAGAGGGCAGCACAGAGAAGGCCCAAACAACTGCAACACAGAGCAACAGCAAGCTGCTGCTGTGCTGCTTCTGTAAAGGACGTACCTGCTACAGGGAGGATTGTTTTCACCAGCAGAGCCCTCCAACCTTTCCTTGAGAAAGAAGCTGCCTTTCATTCTCCACCTACGTTGAGGTTAGGGATTTTTTGTTTGTTTTGTTTTTTAAACCACCTTCCACTTACCACAGTCTTTCTTTCTGAATTTGGTAGGATTTAAAACAAGGTATTGTATCCAATTTGGACATGTAGCAAAGAGAACCAGATGTGCCTTTAAAAAAAAATACGTAAGTGGTCTTGAAACACTGAAATGAAGCCTGGAAGTATTCAGGGGACTGTCTGCACCCAGTTTTTCAATCAATCTCTATAATCGGCGAGAGGACAAAAACTATGAACAGCAAGTTTTGTTTTCTTCAGAGCAGGGTGCAGAGCTGCCTTAAGTTGAACAGGAAAGGTCTAGGCAAGTACTGAAGCACCCCAGCCAAGGTTCAAATATTTTATTTTGTATTCATATAGTATGAAGGTTCTTATAGTTCCCACAACATATGATGTAGCATGCAGAGGAAAAACTAAACGTTCAACATAAATCATTTTTCCCCACACAAACTAAAAAAAAAAACCAAAACCAAAAACACCTCATCCCTCCCCTTCCAATCCCCCTAAGGAAATAACATTAGCACTAATTTCTATAATGCCAGCCAAGATATGCACAAGCAAGTAAGAGAAATCGAAAGCATTTGCTAAAATGTTTGTAACAAATACTTATGTACAAAAAATTCACAAAAGACTAGTTCCCCCTTGAAGCAGAGCACATGGCAGTTGACACTGGAACAGATACAACCACTGGCTGGGATTATAAGCCACGTACTGATCCAGAGGAAGAAAAAAGTTACATGTAGTGGAGAATTTTGTTTTGAACATTAACATTTACCAAAGTTTGGCAACATTATCTTTTAAATTATGCAAATTATGTAAACAAGAGGAACATTTCAAATTGATCTACATGCAAAACTTCATGTCATGCAAGGACACCAAGCACCTGGATTTCTCTCTCACAGACAGAGCCCATGATGTGCAGCACTCAGTTGAAGGAACAGCTATGGCAGACAGGTGCTCGACTGAAGTAGGTTCAGACAACCTGCACTTTCCACTGCTGATTATAAAACAATTTTTTTAATAGAAAAACTACTATACAGGAAAGATGTACTGTCCTAAAAAATCTAGCAAATGTTTTTCTTCCAGCCAATAGTACCATTGCAGAAAAGGGAAGGGATGATATAAAGTTGTAAAACATGGCTCGCTACTTTTATATCACACAAATATATCAAGTTACCATCCGTTACAAATTATGATATGGACAAATTTAGAAAAGAAAAAAATTCTCCAGGCAAAGCACTGGAGAACCGCAAGAGGTATAAATTTAGATAGTGTGAAGTTTTCCTCCTCTATGGCATAGGTTAACAAGATTTTCCCCCTGTATGAATCCTATATACATATATATATATAAAATATTACCAGTTTTTTATGCTACCTGTAGTATTCTTTAAATGCAGAGGGGAAACTATCATGGTTGAAACAACAGAATTTAAATGGCAAGAACGTTTTATAATCTAAGTACTGTATAAAATAAGTAGATGGGAATCCTGCACAGTTACGTCAATCCTAATTTCGTTAAGCTAAGCACAAGAGAAAGTCATGAACGTGTCCAACACCTTGAGCAGCTGTATCTAAAATGAATCCAGAACAGCAGATTTACCTTAACTTCAGGACAGCTGTAACTGCTCCGCCTTCCTAGGTGACGAAATCTAGCGGCCATCAAAGCATTCTGCAGTTACTATATGCACACGAGGGCTAGTTCTTGGCAGTAGCATTAAACTATATTCTCATATTAAGTAGAACTGTACTAAGTTATTTAGCAAAGAGACACAGTCCCTGGTAATATATTAACAGGTATAAATAAACTTAGTCTCCTGTGTTACAAAAAATGTAATTAAGGTGAATTAATAAGAAGCAATGCTTTGTCAGCCAGTCAATATATAGAAACATCTGAACAGTCACAGGAAAAGGAAAAGAGTTGACCTAACACCCAGTTAAAATTTTACATTCTTCTACTATATATATAAAACTGTGTGAAATAAAAGTAAGGATGTATATCCATATATTGAACTGTTAATATTCTGCTTGGCACTTTGTACTCTAGTTTTGTTTCTGAATCAAGTATATTAAATTAAAGCCCACCTAGCTACTACATATAGAAAGCTACATATATATCTATATATAAATACACACACACATATATATAGATAGATATTTTCTTGTTATAAAAGATGAAGAAAAATAAATTAAAAAGCCAACCCCTTCCCTTTCTCCACCACACTGATATGCTCTTTCCATCTTTGCTGTCCTTCAGACTTTAAAGTGCTACACTGAGTTATTGAGAGAATAAAAGTTCAATAACACTTAGTTGGCTTCATGAGGCTCATGTTGGAAAATGTGGCTTCACAGAGAAAAATACTTCCATTTAAATACACAGAGAGCATTGCTGGACGTCTTGAGCAGATCTTCAGAGATGGAGAAGAAAGCAAAAGTGTTGGGTGGTGCCCTACAGAGTCACACGTCTACGACCATCTTTTTGTGGATATCTAGGCCTCCTACAACCTGGGAGAAAAACAAGCGTTCATAAACAGATGAGCATTGGAAGTTAGCACGATACAAAGAAGGAACTTTGTTCAGAAGATGCTTTCAGGTCAATCGTAATTACAGGACTTCCCTGGCCTTTCCGAACTAACTGACACTTCACAAGTACTGTGTGATACGTGAATGAATTGTGTGTGAACCAAGGTAATTACATTAGTACAACTTACACACTCAAGGGCCTGAAAAACAGCGTTAGCTACACCATTTTGGCTTTCCTCCCCATCTCATATTCTGACCTTGTATTATGTTTCTGCACGTTAAATGAAACGCTAACTTTCCTTCTAAAACACCCTGTAAAACTGTGCATCTTTACAGGAGAAGCAAAGGGCCTTAGGAAAGGCGGAAGGATTTCTGACAAAACTGCATGCACCCAAAAAAGAATTACCGCTGTTCAAAGGTGTACAATTCATGCACAGAGAAAGGAAAAGGAAAGGTGTGATGTCAGAGGAACTTTTTATAATGCAGAAACAAAATTCAAAGGCCAAATGGTATGGCCAAATGCCACAAACGAAAAAGTGGTTTTGGAGATAGATGGCAAAAAAAAAAAAAAAAATCAAAGAAGGTAAAATGCAAGAACAAAAGGGTAAGAGATTGCAGGAATGAAAGGTGTCTTGTCAGGAGGTCAACAAAAAGTGAAGAAATTAAAAGAAAGATAGAGGAAAATCAAATAGCAGTACAAGACAGGAAGTCTGGCAGAAGCCCAAAGAGAAAAGAAAAGAAAAGAAAGGGCAACATCATATTCGATGGATGGCTAGAAGACAACAGCCCAGTGCAAGAAATAAACAGGCATTTCACTAATCTAGGTGTTTGCAGGCTGCAACTCAGAGTTCTTTGCAGATGACCACGCATTTTCACATGATGCCACGAAAATAACTAAACTCTACCAAAAAAAAAAAATGCAGACAATAGAACCTTTTTGCTTTGATAGTTTGGGGGAGGGCAGATTTTTTTCCTTTTTTAGAACTTGCACTGATCATGAGTATGAACAATTTATGTTTGCACTGAAGTCGTAAATTCAAGGAGTAGGAAACAAAAGCAATGCTTGAGTGCCTACCGAGTCAAACTGTGCTACCCAGGTGCATGTTCATTAATACACCATTTAAAATTAATGTGTAAACACTTATTATTGTGATTTTCAAATGTTCCAAGTTTCAATGTGTCATTTACTTTTTTTTTTTAAGAGGGAAGGAATTTAAAACTTGCTGTCGACTAATTAAACAAATCTATGACATGGGTGAAAATCAACCATTTCAAGCCTCAAGCGCTACAGTCAAGC